CTAGTAGGAACAAGAAGCTATTTGGAAACAAGAAATAATAAATAGAATCGGTGGTCAGACCTTCGGTCGCATTCGTGAGCGACCGCATTCTTCGCTTTCCTCATCGACGTTCGAAGCCTCACATCGACGCGGGTGGCGGTCCGAAAAGAGCTAGAACGAGGATGTGTGTGTTCCTGGACAGAATGAATAGCAAAAAGGTCGAAGGACTGTGAGCCAGTTGAGTGTCAGCTTTTGGTGGAAGCAGAAACTGAAACCTGGGAACTTCTATTTTCCTCTGCAGCCAGCGCGGTTTCCACTTCCATGTTAGTGAGTCGGAGTGTAATTACATCTCATCAAAGTATGTCATCAAGATATTGAGGCACAAAATAGAAAGAATGCTACTAGTAACAAGCGCATCGCTACTAGTAACAAGGGCATCACTAGTAGTAGCAGGAAGCTACTAGTAGCTCCTGGCATTACTACTAGGAATAAGAAGCTACAAGGAACAAGGGCATCGCTACATATCGCTACTAGTAGCTTCATGAGGAGTGTATGTTCCCTAGGAGCCAGGAATAATATACTGAAATGCATCGCTACCAGTGCTACCAGTAGTAAGGCCAGGAGCTACTAGTAGCGATGCCCTTCCTAGTAGCTTCTTTTTCCTATATATACAACACAGGAGGCTCCGAATTTCTGCTGATTTGGCAGGACACATCCATACAGGTTTATTTGAAGAGACTGACCTGCGCAATAGAGGACGAAGAGACGGTAGATAGCATTGTGGTGCAATGCCCCTTTTCTCGGCCACCCCACCATGTCCATCGCTCGCACCTTGAGAAGTCGACGCAGGGACCAGTTCACCTGGTGTCTAATCGTTACTGTATAGAGACTACATGTTGAGCAGTTGAATCCAATTTTCTGAACGACCTGTCGCAGCTTCGATTCATTCACTTTCTGGGTATTAGACCTGAATAGAAGATCATCGGGGTGTACCGACCGCCAACATCCTGCAGACACATGACCAAGGTTGACGTCTGATTGCACCCACTTCATCGACTTGCCCAACTTCGCTTTGGCCGTGGGGATCTTGGGTTGTGCCTGGTTGCGGATTTGCACCAAAGTCTTGAGGCTTGAAGCGTTTCGTCACATGTTCGCCAAGGTTGAAAAGACCCAAGTGGTGAAGCTTTCCCCCTGTGTCGTTGATTAGATGGCTCACAACAGTGTTCGTAGATCGCACCAAGATTTGGTTAGGATTTGAGCGAAAGTCACGGCACTCCCCTCAAAGCTACTTGCTGATACTTCCCACTCGCGAGGTTGCAAAATCACCAGGTTTTGGTCATTTCTCCTGTACCTCTAAGGAGCTTAGTCAGCCAACTTGGTCACCCGGGGGTGTCCCCAGCAAAAGATCTCAACTTTTAACAAACATAATCGATACTTCAGGATACTTTTAACATGGAGGCCATCGCCCTTAGGTTGGAGGCCATTGCATTGCATGTATAAACATGACACGTTCTGTCTTCGGTGTTCTCAAGTTTCCACCGGTTTCGGGCAGAGCTCTCCTTTTTCGGATGTTAACTGTGTTTTTTGTTGATGTGTCGCCTGACAAACCAGCTTGAAAGCAAAACGGCATTCCTAGATGGCTTCATGTGGCAAAAAAGATCAACAAAAGCTCCGCGTCCGACACTGGCAACACCTGGCAACGGAACACATTTGCTTTACAGTTTCGTGTTGGTTGGATGATGTTGGATGTCCAAAAACTCGAGAAGCCAACGGATGATCTTGGATGACAGCTTGCGTCCCCAGGCGCGGCGCATCAGCCGCCGGCGTGGCGGCCCAGATCAGATGCGTCGGAGCCTGGAGGCGTTGTCGTGAAGTCGGGAGCTTCCCAGCTGGGCTGGAGTGCCATGCGTGGGGGATACTACGCCATCGGACGGGTGTTTCTTTCAGGGGGCCAAGAAAAGACCATTGATCCCAACAGTATCATACCGGCTCTTCACCTTCTTTGATTGACCATCCCGGATTCTGTGACCCAAATTGGGAATCGTGCGTTTGAGGGTTGCAGCTCTTTGGCATACTTGACCATGTCAAACTTAGATACCTTAAGTCCTTCTCAGAACTGGAAGGCTAGAACACTCATGGCAATCCACAAATCCACCAGGATTTATCTCCACTCGCTTTCTCCCGTGCGCCTAGAAGGAAACACAGACCCAGAGATGGTTCACACAGCCATGGTCCGAACGCCCATCTCAGAGGTTGGCATGGCTGCGGTTTGCCCAAGTCTTGCTGCTCTTGGGCCTCTACCATTGGGTTCGGAGGGCCCAGTCGAAGCAACTCTGAGGGCCCAGTCGAGCTGGCAAAGTGGGGTGGACAGGTTGGGAACAAGGTGTGGCCAAGCCAGCTCTCTCAGACCCGTCAGTCCCGTTCGTAGCGTTCTTGCTCCTAGTAGCGATGCCAGGAGCTTAGTAGCTTCTTGTTCCTAGTAGTATGGCCAGGAGCCCCTAGTAGCGAATCCCTGGCGTTGGTTGAGTTTCCTGCTTTCTGATCATTAGAGACGGTGATCTTGGAGATCGATTTCTTGGTCATCTTCGGATGCCATCTTTGTTTCGTGTGAACGTTTTGGCACCCAACAAAACAACCATCAGCTTCACCCAACAAACATGAACAGAACGGATTGCTTCTACCACTGTTGGACTGATGCATAGTTGACTCAAAAACATCACCGCGGATCTTGAGTGTTCACCAGTTCCATGGCTTTTCACCACTGATTCCCAAAGGTAGTACATGTAGTGCCGAGCTCCAAAGGCCCACAGCCCACCACATCACAAACAGCCACTGCGCACTCGGCGACGGAGGTCTTCTGGAACAAGTCGGACGTGCCCTTTGGCGCCGCCTTGCATTCGATCCGGTGGACGCTCGGGAAGGAATGACAGTGGTATGTTCTGGTAGCTTCTTGTTGCTAGTAGTAAATTAGCTACTACTCGCGATGCACTTGTTACTAGTAGCGATGGTTACTAGTAGCTTCTTGTTACTAGTAAGAATGCTCCTAGTAGCCCTAGTAGCGATGGCCTCCAACCTAGTAGCTTCTTCGGAGTAAAGACAGATTGCAGAAAAGGGGTGCATGAAATCACCCCGTAGAGCACGGAATAGCGAATGCCCGGGCCTGATTGACACCTGGTGAGTCAGGTGAATAACTACCGCACAGTAGGCTTTGGCATTGACAGGCTTTCAACATTCTTCTGGCATCTTCGGGCTCGGATCTTCCGGAATGCTTGATTTCTGGTGATCCTGGCGTCCGATGACATGCGGCTGAGGATTTATGTCACCTCCATCGTCTACTACTTGATGAGGCACGGTTCAAACGCTGCTAACCAGCGATTCCGAGTGTCTCCGAGTGTCCGAGTTCAAGAGCACGTCAGCTATAGGGTCAACCCAATCAATTTTCAGCACTGCATGGTCCCTTTGTGTTGGCCATTTCGAGATCCTATTTCGAGATTACTTACTGAATCAGTCGAAACGACTGAATGCCGTGTGGATGACTGCCCGGGTTTTGGGTTTCCCACGATGTGTGTGGTGGGGTTGAGCTCAAGACTGATATGATGGCTGGAGTTCTCCCCAATGTGATGTGGCTATGCATGGCTATGCTGCAATGCTCATAATCAGTCCCTCATAGTTCTGGCCAATGAAGATTTCCAAATAGACAAACAGATAATGGGTCGGTTTCGTTCATCCTGGGAAAGTCAGCATGGTACCTAGCAGGGGCGCGCGTTCATCCTTGGCCAATTCTTCAGCCGCTTTAACCTCCACAAAAGAACGGACTACGGACTAGTGACTATAGTCTGATTCTCATCACTCATGGTTCGCTTTCTTCGCATAATTTCTTCGGCATGGCAGGTACTCCTTGCCCATCCGCAGGGTGGGGAGCGACTTGCACACTGCATCCTTGGATGGGAACCTGGATTTGGTCAAGCGCCTCGGCTTTCTTTTTTCGAGGAGTTTGGGAAGTGGAGCTTGGGCGGGGAAGAGGAGCGGGAGTGGTTCTCGAGGAATGTCGAGGAACACCGGAAGCCCAATCAGATCAATCAGATATGCCTTGAGAATCCATATGCAAAACATTCTGCCAGCGCAGGGTTCGCTTGGTGCCGTATTCACAGACTTGAACGTCCCCTCCGGCAGAGTCCGAGTCGAGAGATCTCCATGGAAAGCAGTGCCACGACTCTCGCTCCAGGGCGCTTCTGAAGCCTGACCAGAATGGACAGGCGCTGTGGGAATCTGTGGGACATGGACTATCGGTTGGGGAAACATGAGGGAGATATCCTGCATCGCTTAATTATGATACCCTGGCTACTAGTAGCTTCTTCTTACTAGTTAGTACCTCCGACCTACTTGCGATGGCCTCCACTTAGTAGCATCCTTGCTACTGGTAGCTGGAGATATCCTGCAGAAGTCTTCTTTTGGTAGGGATTTCGGAAAACCCTACAATTCCAGGTGGTGCACTTCTCAGCACTTCTTTCATCACGGTCGTCGTTTCACACAGTGCATCGCTAACAAGGACGCTATTAGGTTGGAGGCCATCGCTACTAGTAGCAAGGATGCTACTAGTTTGACCATAATTTTCCTGAATCTCCACCCAGTTCCCGGGAAGCTCAGCTCTAACTCCTAGTAGCGTCCTTGCTCCTAGTAGTAAGGCCAGGAGCCCCTAATAGCGTCCCTTGCTCCTAGTAACCTAGTAGCGATGCCAGGAGCCCCTAGTAGCGTCCTTGCTCCTAGTAGCAATGCCCTAGCTCCGTTGTCCGACGGCTTTGCATGCCCCAGAGCATGACGTGTAGGTGCTGGACATCAACGCTGCATCCAAAGATGGGCAGAGCATGACGTGGGGGGTCTCGGATTCGGGGGCCAAGGATGACTACATGAAAAGGTGAGAGATGGTGAATGAACTGCGCAGTACCCATTCCAAAATATCCCAAAGATCCACACACTATATTGCTAAACGATCGGATGAGTGGACGATGGGCGAAGCCGCCAGACTTTGAACATCCGATGAGATCGTGTGCTCAGCGGAGAGTCCAAAGGTCGACCAGCGGTTGGACCAGCGGTTTTTCTTGACGAAGCGACGCGGATGGGTGCTGTGTGTGCGAATGAGTTCTGCCGATGAGTTCCGCGGATCGTCGTAGACTTGAACTTCCGCTTTTCGAGAACTTCAAGATTGTTGTGATTCATGGAGGATTCATGGTCAGGCATCATGGTCAGAACGCGTTACATAGACGCTTTACTTGGTTTCCAACAGGTTTCTACTCAGGCTGGCGTGTGGCAAACCGCGAGTCCTTTCCGTACACCATTTCCTGAGCGTGTGTCTGAAGTCCTTTTAGGCTCAGGACATCAGCCCACAGATCTGGCCTGAAATCGCATAGAGCGGGTGGTGTCCATCGGCTGGTGTCATGGTGACAGCGGACTTGCCCAGCAAATTGCGATGCACCAAGATGTGCAAGTGCCTTGGCTTGGTGGGCACAGAGCAGAAAGGAACCCTTACGTAGCGCCTTTTTTCCGGTGTTGAAGGGGTGGATGTCATGCCAGTGTGGAAAAAATGGGAAGCTTGAAGGGGAGTCGGAAGAAGGGGTAGCTGAATCATCCTCCATGGCATGCGGCTCTTCTTCACTATCTATATAGGCGTTGGAATCGCTATGACCACAGATAGTGGCCTGAATGGCGAAGGCAACAGTTTCCTTGGGATCTGAACATCCATATGCTGGAGATCCAAACCAAAGAGTCCAAGGATGGAGTGGGAATGAATCCACACCAAACCTTCGCTTCGGCGAGGTCTCCAAGGTCTCCAAGGTCCAAACCCGTCCAAGGTCTCCAAGCTCCTCCCGACGTTTTTCTAGTAGGGTGGAGGCCATTACTATAACGAGAAGCTAGTAATTAGTAGCATCCACCTTACATCTTGGTCTCCTTGTTCTCGCAACCTCGAAGACGAAGACCTTGTAGCTTCTTGTTACTATTAGCGATGGCCTCCACCCTAGTAGAGAAGACCTAGGTTTTGGATCTACCAGCGATGCACCATGGGTGACTTGGCAAGTAGGACCGACGTGGGACTTGTGACGCCGGGGGGCAGTCAGGGGGTTCAGTCCGGGGCAGTTGTGGTTTAGGACCGCAGACGAGACTCTTTGTAGTTATGTTTTTTTGGATTCTGGCTTTGATATTTTTAATATAACCTTTGTGAAAGCGAGCTCTTGGCAAGGCATGTTTCAAGGTTGATCACACCCCGCCGCCATTTGCACAGATCTTGACCCATTTGTTTTACGACCTTTCGTGGTCCGGCAAAAGCCCTCGCGTTGCGTCGATTGCGTGCGCCATCGTCGCTCACAGTGGCACCGGAGCCTTTTGTTTGGGCCTTGCTGGCGAGCCTGCTCCCGCTGCCGCGCTGCGTCGCTTGGCCGTTGGTTTGTTTCCTTTGCTTGAGGAGCCCTTTGTCCTAGCCTTCGTTGTCGGTGATCCTTGCGGCTCAGGCCTCAACGATTCCGGACAGAGTGAATAAGCTCCTGGAGAACTCAAAAGACCTCGCGTGGTCAAGCTAGTGTGCCTCGCATCCCAAGGATCCTGAGGTCATCTGACCATGGCGGAGGAGGACAAGAATGCCGGAGCATGGAGTCGGGTCCCGATATGGGACGGAGATCCAAAGACATGGCGGGCCTTCTCCTGCGAGATGACTTGGTGGATGGAGGCGCTGGACGTGCAGAGCACAAAGAAGTACAACCTAGCTGCTCGTTGGCTGTTGCGCCAATCAGGCATTGTGCGCCAGCGTGGTGAGGAGTTCTCGCCAGCTGAACTGGCCGTTCAACCGGCCGTGACTGCCAAGGACCCCGAGACCGATGAGGACGTGATCATCACGCCTGAGGATCCCTTGGCTGGCTTGAGCAAGTTGTTGAAGGCTCTTGAGAGTATCAATGGAAAGACCCAGCTGGACAAGCGCGGTGACCTCCGGAACACCTTCTACCTGGAGCTGAAGCGCAAGCCTGGTGAGAGGATCAGGGAGTTCTGCACTCGCTTCAGGTCCGCAGTTGCAGAGCTGCGAATGGAGGGCGTGACATTGCCCAGCGCAGAGCTTGGTTGGTTTCTGAAGCAAAAGTTGGGCCTTGATGCATTGCGTCAACAGCTGTTGGAAACAGCGCTGCAGGGCAAGGAGTCCTACGAGGACACGGAGGTCGAGGTGCTTCGTTTGTTTCGAGACCTTCATGCCTCTGACCCCTTGGCGAAGAAGTCATTTGGTGACCACCACCCGCCGAGAGCGCCCTTGATGCAGCGTTTCCTAGCTCAACAGAGGACACCGTCTTCAAGAGCGCCATCATCCTCAGCCCCTTCAGTGTCTTCGTTTGCTTCTGGTCGTTCGAGTTCGACCTATGCCTCAAGCAAGCCCTTTCAGCGGAAGCCCATGAGTTCTGGCCGACAGGCCTTCGTGGCAGAGCATCCTGATGAAGAAGAGCTCATTGCCGATGAGCCAGAGGTGGAGGAAGCTGATCCTCCAAACTTGGAGGAGGTCTTGCAGGCCGAGGCTGAGATCTTGGCGACGGAGATTGAAGAAGCTGTTGAAGAAGGCGTTGAGTCCGCCTTGTTGCAAGATGTCGAAGAGACCGTGGAGTCAGCGCCTGAAGCATTGCTGACGATGAGAGAAGCACGACAGAATTTGGCCGAAGTCAAGAAGGACCGCGGCTATGGCAAAGCTGGAGCATCAACGACAGATGCAAAGTCCAAAGTTGGTGCCAAGAAGGCTTCAAGAAAGCACCCCTGCATTTGACTTCGGTCAGCCTGGACATTGGGCTGGCGATCCGGAGTGCAGCAAGCCTGGAGCGGGCCTTGGGAGGAAAAGTCCGCCAAAGAAGACGAAGGCCGTCAAGGTCGTCGAGACCCTCAACACCGAGCATGTGGTTGACCATGAACCTCCCTTTGAAGTTGAGCCCCATGAAGCTTTTGCTGTCACATGTGTTTCTCGCCGCAACCGGTCGCGTGGTGATGTTTTGTAATCTCCACCAACCCCTGCGCTAGAAGTTCATGCAGTTGGCAATTTGTCATGTGACAAGCGGTTGGTGGGAGCTTTGGATAGTGCTTGCAATAGGACGGTGACCGGCCCTCAATGGTTGATTAGCTACTTGGAAGCCCTTCGTGAAGCCCCAGGTGAAATTTGGTCATTGGTGGATAGCATGCCCGAGCGTGAAGTTTTCCGGTTCGGTGACGGAAGCACTCAGGTGAGCGCCGAGGTGGCGACTACCCATGGTCATCGGGAACACCCTCATGGTCTTCTGGACTTCAGTGGTTCCTGTACCTTCATTGGGCCTTCTCCTTGGCCGGGACTTCTTGGAATCGGTGGGCGACCATGAGTTTCTCCAAGAGGGTGATAAAGTTCGACTTCCTTGGAACGGCCGCCATCCCGCTCAGCAAGCAGCTCGCCGCAGGTCATTTCCTGCTGCAGCTCATTCCACGGCAGTGGCCAGGTGTGGGCTCTCAGAAGTGGCGCAAGCTTGGAACTGACAGTGTCATTGAGTTGCAAGTCACTTTGAGGGATTGGTTGACTAGACGCATCAAAGCCACCGACCCTGTTTTTGGGGATTTGGTGCATGAGCAATTGTTGTCTGAGCGTAGCCTGCAAGCTGGTGTGAGTGTGATTGAGCCTTGAACGAAGAGAAGCCGCTGCTAGCATGATGGTTCAAGCCGGACCTGTTGCAGCGACCTCAACTTCTTCGACGACCCCGACTTCGAGCTCTACAGCCCCGAACGAGTGTCTTTCAGCTGACGGCCATGTTCGGAATGGACACCTTCTTCAAGAAGCCCGAGCCGCTTCCACCAAAGGCGGCAACAGTGGCCACAAAGTGGATGCGCTTCGTTCAACGCTCCGTGGCACGCTTAAGCTGGCATTTGTGGGGGCTCTTCTTATGGCTTGTCAGGCGACCGTACCCAGCTATCAATTCGTTGGCGCGTTGGAAGCTTCAGGCCACCGAGATGGAGAAGCATCACTTGCTGCCATTGGGCACTTGTCAAAAGGCCGAGACCTTGGGGCATTTCAGCATGGGCAACATGCAGGAGTGTATGTGGTTGAGGAAGCGCATGGGACTGCAAGCGGCATTCGTCGAGGGCCCCATTCTGATGGGCATGCTTGCAGCTCGCTCCTCGAAGGGCCTGCCAGCGCAGGTGAAGTCGGAAGCATTGAAGGATCAATGTCCCAATCGACTCCAAGATGACCGTGGCTCAGATCAAAGAGAAGGTGAAGCCGACTGTGGAGCTGCTCAAGAGCAAGCCGCCTTCCAAGCACAACAAGGCATCTTCCAGTTCGGCCCTGACCTATCCCGATCCGAGACCGTCCACGGCACCTTCGTTGACACCTCAGGCCAAAGCTCCACCTACAGGATTAGAGAAGTTTTCTCAGTCACCTCAAGTGGCAGAGATGGAACGGCAGTATCGTCAGAATCAAGCCCAGTTCCAGGACATGACGCAGCAGGTCGCTTCAGTTCTCGACACGTTGACTCGCCCGGGAGGACTACATCGGCTGCAGACCCAAGGCGAAATGCCAGAGAACTTCTCCCTGGCAGGAGCAGCCCCTATGCAGGTGGACAGCATCCTCAACGGAGAGGAGCGCCCGATGAGCGACTTCTCGGAGGCCGAACTTCGCCAGTTGGCGGGAGAATCCATGGAGAGCGTCTACCAGGAACGCCTGGAGGCCCAATACGGCGACCTGGACTTTGTCGACCTCGCGACGAAGGAGCAAGTGGAGGCCGCGCTGGACCCTTAGAGTTCTCCCTGCACCAAGAGTTGAAGAAGGGACAAGCCCAGCTCATTGCCGATGCCTTCGAGAAGCACCAAGCAGACTGCAGCAGAATCTCACTT